ATGCTTGGTAAGAAATGTATGCATTATCCTGCCCATGTAATTGTAACCCCTCTGTACAGTATGTTCACAAATAAAAAATAAATAAATAAATAAAACTAATTTTGCTATTTTTAATTTAGCTGTTCTTAATTCTATACTTTACACATGCAAATATGTGTATTCAGGTGGGCATGTATATATATACATACATTTATCCACACATCCATTAAAGTATATGTTAGAGATAAAGAGGATAAGATGCAAGGATAAAGAGAAGCATGGAAAAAAGAGAACAAGCAAGCCTCAACACAGCCCTGAAATAAGTAAACCTGTCCTTAAAAAAATACAATATTACCTGCATCAAAGATTTACCATCAGTACATTTTATGAGCAGCTGATCCTTAACTTATTCTAAGACCAGAGTAGAGCTGCATTATTATAGAATCCAGTAAATGTCATTAGCGATAATTTTATGGGGCTGTTTGCACTGCTTTAATTATGTAGAGATGGTATTGCTGACCTTTTCCTGTCTCTTCTCCTTAGCAGCCCATCTCAGGAAAATTCCATGCTGTCAGGTGGTGAGGAAAGTTTAATTTTGTCCACAAAAACGACAGAAAAGCAGTTACAAAGCCAGAAGCCAAGGTGCCACATGAGGGTTACAGACAGATGAACAACTGTGAAAACCATTATTTTCCAGGGTTTATGTAAAAAGACAACCCATGAGCTTCACTGAGGCACATACAAAACTAGCCTCAGATAATGCTTTGAAACCATCTTTTAAATGAACTGTCTTGGTGTCCTATAGTTCATCAAAGGTTTCCTGTCTCTGAAAGGTCAACATTGTATCCCTTACCCTTTCTGAATCTCAGAATATCTTTTCAGCTCCTCATTTCAGAAAGGTGAGCAGGTGTCTCTCAGTCCTAACAATCATGATTCCACAGTTCACAGATTCTTAAGATAAATCATTAGAGTGGTATCATATATAGTCCTTTGTCTGTTTTTCCAGCCCAAGTTTTTTTTTTCTTTTCCTTTTCTTAAATCAATAGTTTTGGAATATCTAGGAGTGTTAAACAAAAAAAAACCTGATTAAATAAAGTCTAAGAGTTGAGACTACTCTGTCAACTTCACTATGACAAGTAAAATATCCCCTTTTTTAAAATCCAGGCTTTATAGCTTTTTAAATACTTAAGTCCTAATAATAGTGTTTAACCACTTTGGCATGATCAGATTTTAATTATCTATGCATTCAGGATGTTACTAAATGAATAGGTGTGTGTAATTCACCTCTAATCTCACCGAAAAGCACAAAAGGTCCAGTTGGGTTTTTGTACTCTAAGTTCTTCCTGTTTAGGTCCCTGGATAGCGTCCATTTGTAACACAACTCCTTCCAAGACCATATGATACCTTGGAAAGACAGCTGCAAACAACCACCCTGAGACCACTCAGGCTTAGTTAACTTCTTTTTCTGACAATGTCTGAATTATTTCTGACACTTTGGCTAATAAATGGCTTGACAACAAGAAGTTGCGCTCAAGTGAATTAAATATAGATTTGGTGAAGTGGTTAATGCACACGTCTTTCACTGTATGTAGGCACCAGCCTGTAGGCATCAGCTTGGTTCCAACATCAAGCCTTTTTCACCAGGAAGATGGTTGAGGAGGGACTTGTAGCCACTGCCAGACTCTGTGTGATTCCCTCTGCTTCTTCATGTGCACTTGGCATGGGCTCCTGGCCTCCTTTTGCATTTACTCAATAGCACAGGCTTTACTGACAAAGCTTGGGTTACTTGCCATAGCCTTTCTGGGGTTCTATTTGTTCTCTGCCCTCATTGTCACTCTTTTTTCTATTTCCATCTATTATATTTGGGTCAAATAAACTTACCAGGCCTTGGGTTTGGTGATTTGTGTGCACACTGAACACTCCATTCCCTTTGTATGCTAGTCTCTGAATCTGTTGTCAAAATTGACTCTCCTGGTCATACTGCCTCAATTTGTGATCTTCCTGCTCTGCGTCCTCTCTCTAGTCACTGACCTGTGGCCACTGTGACTCATTGGCCATGTTGTTCACACAAGTCACATAACTCATTAGCTAAACCAGTCTAAAGTCTTTGCTTCTTTTATGTGATGGGCAAGACTATTTATCCACACTTTGGTTTCTGGGAAAGGAATGACCTGCTCTTTGGCTCTGTGCACTGGAGAAAACAGTCCCCAAGGAAACAAAGCAAACCTTTTCTTGTTGCTGGTTCCTGTTTTCCCTTTTATACACACCCCACATTCCTTCATGGCCTAATGCTGAGTCACATCAGAAAGACTGGTGCCTTCCCAGCTGCAGCTTTTCAGCTCTCAGACCCCAAACCCTTGCCTCTCACCAGGCAGAATATATAAACATGGGCTGTATAGAAATAAAAGTCAGCAGTTCCTATCATTTCCTCCATCTGGCCCCAAATGGAGAGAGTGTCCTATAAAACCTCAAAAGAAGAGGCACTATAATCATTATTAATTACAAACATTTCTTGAGCAGATATTTTTAGGTCACTCTGTAAGTTATGGGAGATGCAGAGACAGCACAGGCTGTGAATTCAGAAAGCATGTGTGCATGACCATGTGCATGAGTATATGCACGCACGCACACATACATTATTT